AAGTAACACAGAAGAAAATGGTCCTCATCAGAGGATAGAAGCAGATGCCATTTCCTCACTTACAGATTCTTTTCTACTTAAAAATGTGGGGGTGTGGGTTTTGTTCTATCTTTATTTTACAGAAAGGCTACATGTAATGGTTTTGCTTATAAGTGATCCCAGTGTCACATTCTCAATGTGAAAATATTTAGTAACTAGCTTTTTGACTCCTAACGCATGCCCAAAGACCTTTGATTATAAAATTCCTAATTTCTCAAATTCTGAGTAAATATTTCTTAGCCAACAACAGAACCATGAACAATTATTAGTAATCTCAAAAGGAAAAAAAAAAAAGATGCACAACAAAAAAGTACTAAAATGGAAGGAGTTGTCTTCCCTTGTGTAAGCATTATTAGATTCTGGAATTTAAAAAACTACATATATTCCAATTGTCTATTATAATAAGGTATCTAAATATAATTCACAGTGTTAAAATTATTTCTAATCTCTGGAAACCAAGAACATCCTTGTTAAAGTGTAAAATGAGATTTTGCCTACTTGCAACTTCTTGTTCTCACAGTTGAACTGTCACAGCATGAAAACATTCCCCTACTGGTGAAGCTTTAGATACCTATTTCCTTGATGAAAGAGTGCAAAAGGAACTGAAAGAGTTGTTGACAATTCATACAGTATCCCATATCCCATTAGAGTACAACCACAAGCAAAGAAAATATTTTAACTCTGAAGGGAGATGGGCAATAATGTCTAAATGATTGTTGACTTCACTGAGTAGCCTGAAAATGTCAAATATTAAAAGTCTATCAGGTTCATAAGAGACTTAAGTTAATACAAAAATCTGACTGTAAGAAGTCCTGTTGGTAAGTCAAAGGTTAATGAGAAGAATACTGAAAACATCTCCTGTGTTATTGCGAAGCATTTCTCATGAAGTATAAAAATATACATGAAAAGGCATTTTAATCTAGTTCTTCATTAACTGCTTCTTAAAAAATATATAGCTTCCTTGAGGCACAATTTACATGTCATAAAATTCACTCATTTTTAATGTTCAATGATTTTTAGTAAATTTAGAGATGTGCCACAATCTAATTTTTATAGCATGTTTATCACCCCAAATCCCTTAACTTCTTGATCTATGGTGTTTTCATAAATTCACGGAAGTCACTGGTATGTGAAGTTACTGTATATTCAAAACTACACATATTTCTGCAACTGAGCAGGAAAAGTACAAAGTAACGTCACTTTTAATGACCTTTATAACCAATCCTCTACTCTGGCACTGAGAAGCAAATGTTCAGGTGCTTTCTGAAAGTTAAACCATTCTAAGTATTAAGTTATGGCACACTGTCTTGGAAAGAAATTAATTATATTTTTGTTGGTAACACATTTCAGGCTGTTTACACAGCTGACATTTCTCAGCTGTACCCAATTCATACCCTAAGCTGTGAGGACGATCTTGTTCTGTAGCAGATGCCTCCACTTGAGTGATTTCAGTAAGTATAAAAACACCACCGTCTGCAACAATATAGATCATAAGCACTAGCTTTATGAGTTTTTATAGACCTAATGAAAGAAGATTTTATGGTATTTATTAGGCTAGGATCTCCTTAGACGGCTACAGTTATAAGCCATCTTGCCTAAATCCAAGCACTGGAGCTAGTGGATCTGCTGTGGCACCAGTTAAAAGCAGCCTGCCCTAAATGTCTTTGTTGTATCAAATCATGCAGCTCAAAGCAACATCTTGCCAATGGCAACATTTGCTCTGGGGAGGTGTGGGCAGGCACCACTTCACAGGTTCTGGGACAAGGTGCAAATATGAATAATGAGGCAAAAAGAATCAAGCCTCTTAATGAGGATTTCCTCTTGTGTTTGCTGTGACTTAGACACAATACTAGGTAGCAGTACATTCTTAGATAACGGCCAGTTTTAGCGGCTTTCCATTAGTAATGAAACTGCATTACACCTCTTTGGTAAAAATTTAGATGTTATAAATCATTAAAACACAGATCCGATAGTAAAAGACTGTGTCAACTCAATTCAATGAATTAGCACTTAAAATGTATAAGGCACTATGAGACCAGGCGTGGTGGCACACACCTGCAATCCCAGCACTTTGGGAGGGCAAGGTGGGCAGACTGCTTGAGCACAGGAGTTGGAGACCAGCCTGGGCAACATAGAGAAATCTTGTCCCTAAAAAAAAAAAAAAAAAAGGAAACAAAGAAAGAAAAAAATTAGTCAGGCATGGTGACACATGCCTATAGTCCCAGCTACTCAGGATGCTGAGTTTGGAAGGATCACCTGAGCCCAGGAGGTCAAGGCTACCGTGAGCTGTGATTGTCATGATCATGCACTCCAGCCTGGGAAACAGAGTGAGACCCCAACTCAAAAAAAGAAAAAACGTATCAGGCACTATGTTACAGACAGAAGAACTGATCATATTTCATTTGAATTTGCCTATCATTCTTGTAACTGGCACCTGATAAGCCTATTTCAGTCTGTTTTCTACAAGAGTAGGGGTATAAGAGCAGTTGGTTTTTCCAGCCCTGTGAAGCCTCACATTTCTAGACTTTCTCTATTATCTTATATCTTTGCTCTTATAACAATTATTTTTGCTTTAAATTTTTTATTGTGAAAAATTTCAAATATATACAAGAGTTGAGAGAACAGTAAAAAAGACAATATATGCATCACTCAGATTAAAAAATGATCAATCTGTAATCAGACTCAAAAATGATCAATGCCTAATATGTATTACCTCTATCCTCCCTCCTGCCACCCACGGGCTATTTTGAAGCAAATCTCAGACATCATTTCATTTATTTAAACAAGCCAATTCTTTGCCAGTGATCCTTTTATTTTTTTTTTTTGGAGTTGACTCTCATTCTGTCACCCAGGCTGGAGTGCAGTGGCACAAACAGGGCCACCCCAGCATCGACCTGCTGGGTTCCGGAGATCCTTCTGCTTCAGCCTTTCAAGTAGCCGGAACTACAGGCGTGTGCTACCACAACTGGCTAATTTTTTAATTATTGTAGAGACAAAGTCTCACTGTGTTGCCCAGGCTGGTTTCGAACCCACAGACTCAGGCAATCCTCTCACCTCGGCCTCCCATAGTGCTGGGATTACAGGTTTAAGCCACCGCACCTGGCTGCCTGTGATCCTTTTTTGAGTTATCTTAATATTAACAACAATACTGACTCTCATGTATTGAGGGTCTACTATGAGTCAGGTACTATATAAGTATTATCATTGATCTTCATATCAATTCTGCAAATTAGTGAGATAATTAAAGCTCAGAGAATTTAAGTGACACGCTCAGATCTTAATTATTTTCTTCTGTTAATATTATTCTTTCTTGTAAGAGGTTCTTAGGCAACACTAAGAACATTTCTGGTTTCTTCCTCAGATAAATAGCAGGCTACTATTTATGAATCTTAATCTTTAATTTTTATAAAAATAAATGTAACACATTGTCTATTAAATTTCTCATTCCAACAGGAAAACCAAAACCAACAACCACATTCCTATCCTTAGCCATGAACAACTAGCCAATTCTAATGATATGCCATAATGCCAATTTAAAATCAGTTGTTCAGAAATAAATGCAAGTGCCAATATCTAAACAATTTTTTTCTGGAGCGTTCATTTTTTAAAATGTTTTGCTATTTTCTGACTATTTTTAAAGTTTTCTAATATACAAAGCATTTTCCAAAGGCACAGTGTTTACACTGTGGAGTAATTAGACTCAAGTAGCATCTATATAAACAAATTGTCTCTAAAATTGTCTGTCTTCCACAGAGAATTCCTCTATATTAAAATATATGGTGGTGGTACTAGAAGAGGAAGAATATTTTTTATCCAGACAGAAACACAGTATTTACTAAAAAATATAGAAAAGTAATTCAATTCTTATAGCCCAATCATTATTTCAGTATTCATCATTAAAAAGAGATGAGTGGATTGCCTGAGCCCGCGGGTTCAAGACCTGCCTGGGCAACTTGGCGAGACCTCATCTCTACAATAAATAAAAAATTAGCCGGTTGTGGTAGCGCACGCCTGTAGTTCCAGCTACTTGGAAGGCTGAGGCGGAAGGATCGCCGGAAACCAGCAGGTCGAGGCTGCGGTGGCCGGGAGCGGCCACTGCACTCCAGTCTGGGTGACAGAATGAGACTCCAACTCAAAAAAAAAAAAAAAATGTTGACAAAGTGCCATGCCTTTTAATCCTATTTATTTTAAAAGTTATATTTAACTTCAGAATTCCTGAAACATTTTCATGTTTATTTTTATTTATTTATAAAAATTAGCTTCTAGTTAGAAACAATCAAATTTATGGGAAAAAGTGGCCAATACTAAATTTCAGTTGGACTACTTAGATGATGAAATTTACTCTTAGATGATGGAAAAGAGAAATGACTGGAAACAGGGCAGAGATAGGAAAAGCATCAAAATTTACATTTGGAAAACCATTATAAATTAATATAATAACAAGTAAAAATGACAGTCGAAATCTTCTAGTTTTCTATAGTAGTAAAATTTATGAGCATGTTTAAGATTAAAGTACTATTAATATTAACTGTAAAAATTATTTTTTAAAGCTCCAGTTTACTAAGGGAAATGTAGTTTTAAAATTAAATATAATGATTAGATTGATTTTGAAATATTTGTAACTTAGGAAAAAATTGTTTTTTGCTTTGAATATGCCATTAGTAATATCTGAATACATTATTCTCATCAAGGAAAAATGTAAATCAAGTCAAGCAGTATCAAGTTCTTGTGTTTATTCTGTAATATTACCAACAGAATGTTGATGTGCTTGGCTTGTGATATCTGTTCTGTAAGCGCACTCAAATTATTATAACTCCTCTTATTTTTACATTATTTGATTTATAAAGTTCTTTCAATGGAATATTCAAAGCACTTGACTGTGCTTATTAGTAAAGACAATTAGATAGAAAGTGGCAAATGAGAGAGGAGGATATAAAACTGAGAATTCAACTGTCACTTACTGAGTCATCTGTGGCAGAAGTTGGCCAGCCTTCCCATAATTGATGGCGAACGGGGATACTTGTAAGGTCATACACATTTCTCTTTACCTACAAAAAGAAAAAGCACAATTAAAATAGGAATTCTACTTAATTTATAATAATTTCCAGTCAAGTAATGTGACATAAACTGTATATCCTGTTTTCTTCTAGATTCAAAATAAGAATTTGAAACTAGGAAAACACAAGTCAGAAAAATTTTGCAAGAAAGAATAAACCCAAATTTAAAAGTAGATTTTCAATGAAAACCACAAGAAACAATAGTACAAGAAACATCCCTCCTCTCTTGATTGTTTATCGATTCCTGGCTGACTTCAAGTTTCTTTTCAGTCAAAAAACTTCAGGTACATAGTTCACTTAAGGCAGATTTCAATTGTAAATTTTTATAATATATTTAATTTTTGAACTATGCAATGATTCACACAAAAACATGTTTCAAGATTCTATGTGGGAAAGAGAAGGCTAGTGGGTTTTTTTTTTGTGGGGTCAGGAAGAAGGGGAGGAAAAATCTATAAGTTGTCTTTATTTTTTGATGCAAGTTTCAAAGACATCAAAACTTACTCATAAATAGCACGGGTTATTTCTTTGAAATCACTCCAAATTAAAAACTATTTCAATGGAATATTTACTAATACCAGATCTACCCATTAATAGGCCCTTCCTGAAAAGAAAATATAGTAAATGCTGTTAAAGATGAAAACTATTTTTCCCAGCATGCAATATTATACCTTTTACTCCAAAGGAAAAGTAGGTAACTTACCAGAATAAGGTGTTGGAAAGTTAAGCTCTATGTTATCAGGTGATTAAGAAGTATCATGTCTTTCTTCAGCTATTTTTCTAAGTAGCTTATAAACATTCTATTTTATTCTTTATTCAAAATAAAATAATTAATAAAACAGAGCAATGGAAAAATCATTTATTTTAACCAATGCTTAATGTTAGTTATGGCATTATTACCCTACTGTAACAAATGAAGTTAATGTTGAAATGTTGCACACAATATGTTCTATAATAAAACTTCAACATGGTTCTCCATACTGCAACAAGCAGCATGCATTCATGTTTTAAAAACGCAGAAGCCTAAAGGATCATGTTGTCCAATTATAGGATTTGTTATCACATTACTCTTTCTTATACATAAGCACATCTAAGTTACCCTTCCAGTGAAATAGACACGTTCACTAGGGAAAGGGAAAAAAAAAATAACAAAAACACAGAACTCAATCTATTTTTATCTCTAATGTACACCTGTGGAAAAAAAGACTTAGTAAATGAGATCTAAGGAGCTTGGGGCATGGCTTGATCCCTACTCAATTCAAACAGGCAGCTTATCTTCAGAGGTTCTTAGCAATGGCCAGCTTACCATGCGATATTTTGTTTATAGCAAGTTACATCAAGTTTGGAAATTTTCATCAGTCATTGTTAACCCAACAATTTAACCAAATGCAATTGGGCTAACTTCTAATCACTTTCACTAGCTGAGACTATTTTGTCATACTTAAACATTAGTATTCTTAAGGAGAGAGGTGTTCCACAAACTCAAAGCATTATATTAATAAAAGACAAAGAAAGGTTAGGAGAGGGAATACAAGGAGTTTTTTTTGGCTCAGGGCAAAAAAAACTCCTCTCTTAAAATTATTTTTGGATTTTGTTATTTAGATACACCAAACTTTATCAGCTATTTTTGAAAAAAAAGCAGGACAAACATTTACAAGTTGGAAAGGTGGCAAGGCTACCCCAGCATTGGAGAGTATACACAAATACTAAGGGTATATAAACAAATAACATTGGAGTAGGATTCTTTAAATTCCACCTTAATTCCAAAATACAACAATAAGGTATTATGAAATAAACAGTATTTTCTTCTTTCATTAACTCATCTGCAACTGCACTGAATTGAATAACATTCCTTTGCTATTCTAAGCCTGAAAAGCATGTTCTGGCTATAGTGTTATGTTGGTATAAAGCACAACGCCAGACTGATGTGCTGAACAAAAGTGATCAAAGTTAGAGTAATGTTAGCCATTGCACAAGTATTTGGCTTCATTGTTCTCCCCAGAATGACATCTGTTAAGCAACTTGTCATAGAATAAACTGGTTAATGCAGACAGAACTTGGCTGAGAGGGTACCATGTAAAGCATATTAGGCTAATGTTTGATTGTTCCAATGCAAAGGCTAAATTCACAGACCATTCTTAAATTAAGCCCAAAGAATCTTGTGTTGAACCACAATCACTGAACAATTTAAGTGAAAACAAACTGGTTTTTCAAAAAGAATTCCATGCTTATCAATGCTGTAACCATAGGTAGACTTTATCAGTATATTGATGAAAAATAAGTGATAAGATAGCAAAAGCAACAAATGAGTGATGATTTTACTAACAGATATTAAAATATCATTATCTTTATTGATGGTTGCATTTAATTAAAAAATTAAATCATAATCCTGTAGGGAAGAAAAAAGTCCAAAATGTACACAAAGCAAAAGTAAAAACGATTCTTTAAAAACGTAGTATTCTAAGAAACCTGAATGATAAAATACAGCTTTGTATGAAATGATGCAGATGAATTGAAAGTCATCATGAATCAGATGAAGGAGGGAGGATGAAGAGAGGAGAGGAGGAAAGCAGAAGGGGGAGAGAGACAAGGAAAGGAGAAAGCAGGGGAAAAGGGAAAGGGAGGAAAGAGAGAGAGAGAGAGAGAGAGAGAGAGAGAGAGAGAGAGAGAGAGAGAGAGAGAGAGAGAGAGAGAGAGAGATGGAGAGTCAAGAGACAGGAAGAGGGAGCTGGGGGGCAGGTAACTAATTTGAAAGATGTGAGAGCACTTGAGAGAGGCAGAAAGAACACACAGGCTGGGTTGCTGCCGCTGGCATGCCCAGCTGCCATTATTGTGCTGTTTCTGATGGAGTTTCATCCTTAGAGAGTGTGTTAAATTCCAGTTAAGGACAAGTGGCACTTCACAGGGTAACATTTCCTAAGGGCCTTTTTGTCTTACGCATTTTCTTTGATCAGCATTGGCTCAAGATCATGCTGAACCTTCATAATCTTTTCAATTCTTGTTTTGCATTAAGCTCTAAATCTATGAGATTTCAGGCTGCTAAACTATGCAAATGTTTCAATTAGTTCTGAAGGAATTTAATAAATGCTTTCATTACCAGCTGAATGTTAAAATTACATTACAAACTATACTGTATTTGGATCAAGAAATCAGATTGACAATAGATTTTCCAGTTTGCTTTCTAGATTTTCTAAAGAGACAGCTTAATTTTTCCCCATTGTTTTAGATAAGATAACTATATATTTGCAACTGAGAAAATATGTAAATTAGATTGACTTTTAGTAGATAGAATTAATATGGTACTGATTTGTTTCCCTATTATTTACTTTTCATTGTTCATAAACATCTGTTTATATAATTAAAGTAAAAAGCTAAGCAATCTCTACTTCAAACTTCATATGTCCTCAATGACTGGAAATTTCAATGCTAAAAGCAGCACTGGAGAAATGATCATTTAATCATGCTCAATATCAAAAGTATATTCACAAAATATTCATTGCACTCAAATTTTTCTTTTGATTTGCTTAAATTTTTTTGAGAGTCGTATTTTTTAGTTAAATTTCATCAGAATGACATAGAAAAAGAATTTTTAGGAAGATTTACTCTGCTAAAGGTTAAATTTTGAAACTCAGATTAGCCTCAAGTGAGTTGTCCTAAACTATTCAAATTGGAAAATATGAAACTTAGTAGATAACACTGTTGGTTACAATAAAATCATTCCTTGTGAGCTAAATGTTGGTCAAACTACTAAAAAACATTTCAGGGAACTTTATATGTCATTCAGGTATTATCCAAGTGAAACTAGATTCTAATAATAGAAAAGTCACAAAGTTTGATGAGGTGTTGTAGCATAATAAGAGGCAGAAAACTAGATTTCTGGTTCTAATTCTGCTCAGTTGCTACCTTGGACAAATCAGTGGAGCCCTTCTGAGATTTAATGGATTCAGTCTTAGAAGAGAATAAAATATAATCACTTTTGATTTTCAAAGCTCTAATATTCTATGATTACAGGAAAATATTGACATTAATCCTAGATGCAGGAAAACAAGAGCTAAATATATACAAGACAAGGAAGTAAGGAAGGGAAGTTTAAACCCATTAAAGCTAAAAAATGGAATAAAAATAGTAGAGTTAATAAATATAACAGACATCAAAAGGAAAATGGTAAATAATTGCAGATGAGAAAGAGGCATAATAAGCATTTTAGAGGATTTTTTCTTGGATGAAGAAAAGTCTTAGTTTTTACTTTTATTATACCTTTTTTAAAAGCTAATATTTTCCCCTCATGAGATCATTTAAAAATAAAGCCTGTCACACTGTTTTCCCAAATAACAATTCCATCAATCAAATGTTATCAGATTAGTTATGGTTTGCCATAATACTATTAGCTAAGTGATACAGTTTTAAAGTTTTATTAATTTATTTCAACATTGAAAATTTTTTTGATATTTGGCCCATGATTCTTCATGTATCAAACATTTTAATATAGCAAAAAATAAAAACAAAATATTCAGTTGCCATGGGCTTAGAACAGCTATTAGTTAGCACTTTAAGTTTCTCGTTTTTCTGAATTAAGATACTACAGCATGTTACAGCTCTTACAAAAAGTATCCTGAAAGTACAGACATCTATCTCATTCTTTTACCATTCTTAGAAGAAAAAGACCTCTGGTCATATTAGAACTCAAGCTTATACAAATTTTACATATATCAAACATTGAACTACAGGTACTTCACACTATCAAATGATGTTCTGGTTAAGAGTTTGCTAAATGGTAACTGCACTGAATAAGTATTTGTGTGTATTTAACTCACAATAAGGCAGACAGACTAAGCTTAATTCTAGTTTCCTAGCAATCACTGGTGCTCTGAAAGGCTTATAGTTAGGAAACCAATCACTTCTGATTCAGAGTGGTTTTGAACACACACTTCATATTTAAGGTCTTTTTTTTGTTTGTTTTTTTTCCCCAACACATTGTATATGCATTGCAGTTG